TTCCGGCCATCATCGACTGCGTCTTGGCCTCCTCCGATGTCGCGCCGTCGCATCTCTTCTCCTCTCTCCTCTGCTCGTTCCCCGATCCCAGTCAGGTAAAATCCCCAAATTCAGCGTCTTTTCCTTAGTTTGTTGATTCTATTTGACTGGTTTTGATCATTGCAGGCTACTCAGTTGAACAGTGTGACGTCTTATGCTAGAGCACTGTGTCATGTTACTGAGATATCCGGTATGTTTTAATTTGATACCCCAAAGTGCAAAAAGTTTGACATTGATTTTGTTAAATCTATATCCATCTATGTATATCTATCTATATCTATACTTCTATAAAAAGAGGATTGGGGTGGTAAAACTTTTAATTTCTTTTTTTCCCTTTTAAATTTTGATAAATTCTAACTATGCCATTATCTCTAATTAATTTTTCATTAAATAAATATAACCTTTCATTATTTATGCACCTCCTCACCTTTCTAAATAATTATAATTATCAATAATATTATAACTATTAATTGTTTAAAAATAATAAAATAAAATAATTTATAGTATAAGTATACACAATTTTCAGTAGTAACCAATTAAATTTTTATAATAATTATTTATGAATTATAATAAAATAATTAAAATAATATTATAAATACAATAATATATTATTAAATTCTATTAAGAATTATATTATAATTCAATAAGCAGTAAAATAAATAGAATAAATTTTGAATCACATAAATAATGTAATTAGCTTAATAATATCACATAACTTATGAACTAACTATTTATTGAGTATTATATTATTAAATAAGTAGTTTAATATTATTTTTGGAGTGTTTTCTCAAAGATTATTACATGGTACTGAATTGAAAACTAACCTTTTTAAAAAAATTATTTAATATTAATAATAATACTATTAAATGTTAATAATAGTACAGTAAAAATTTATAAAATATTTATAGTACTAAGTTATTTAAGAGAATAATTAAAAAATTAAATTAGATAAATATTTTATAGCATATAGACGGTATAACTATTTTAATAGTATTTCTTGAACTAAGAATTATGATAACACCAAAACCCAAATAACTTTGAAAATGCCTTTTTATGCCATTTTCTGGTTCTAATTTATAGGGTTATTTGCAAAATGCAGAAAGTTATTCAGAGTCTTCTTGAAACAGAAAAGTCATTAGGGGTTTGGTGTAATTTTGAAGGTTTATATGGGCTGAAAATTCACAAGGGTTTAGTGTAATTTACCCTATTAAATAATTATAATGAGGAGTAACTATCGCAATATATTGCAGGCATCAAGTGTAACTATCTAGGAAATATCAGGAAAAAGCTAGAAATAATAATGCAACTTAGTTAATTTAGAGTTAAATTAACATGTTCAAGTTGGAGGGCCATATTTAAAAGAACTTATAGAACTAACAGTTTTATTTAGGAATAATTTTAGACTTGGGGACTTATTTAAAAAAAAGGTTAACACTGGGTGATCATTATAAGAAAATATTCAATTACAATAACTACGCAATAATAATTAATTCATACATTTCTTCTTAAGCAATCTTATTATACAATTTTATTTGTTAACACATAATTTTATTATCTAATAAAAAATTCATAACTTAAGACATGTACATTCACGTGCGAAGCACGTGCACTATACTAGTATATTGAAAAGTTAATTAGAAGCAATTAAATTTTTTTTTGAGTTTGGGAAAAATGGGGAATAAAGTGAGGGCTTTGGGGTATTGAATTCTCAACTTAATCGCAATTTGAAAACTTTGTGGTATCAAATTGTTTAAAGAGAACTTGAGGGTATCAAAGTTCAAAGAGTGTGGAACTTTGGGGTATCAAAGTGCAAATATGTCTTTTGGTTATAAACTATAAGTCTTACCTTAAAAAGCTCTCACTTTCGGACTCATTCTTAAACCTAATATGCCATACCGATTATTTGAAAAGCCACTTTCTGTATCTCATAAGTATTTTTTGTTATGGATTTGTCTGATATGCTATATTAGTTTGTATTTTTTGATTTAAATTGCTATATTTTTGTCCGAGTTGCTATTTTTCCAAATACAAAAGATAAAACTGATGAAAAATAGAAACTAAGTTTAAAAATAATTTAGTACGATAGTTTGAGTTTAAAACTAATTTTGGACGCATGTGGGTTTAAAAGTACATCATGGTAAAACTTTGGGTTTATAAAGAAAAAAATACCATATCTTTTTTTTTTCTTTCAGTCGTTTTGTATGTGATGATTGTTTGTGATCTTAGAGAATTCGGCTGAGGCTTTGCGGCTGCTGATTTGGAGAATTTTTGTTCACACACTGAAAGAAATTGATACGAATGATATGGATGTGGTCAATCAGGTAAAAGAACAAACAAAATTCTGTTGAATGACCTAGAAATAAGAGAAATTTATTCAGCAAACTATTTGTTTACTCGTCATTGCATTGCCAATTGCTTGACAGATTGAGGGTTTACTGTTTGATGTCGTGTCCAAGATTCAAGCTTGGGAACTTATGGAGGAAACCATAGTGACATATTGCCTGCGGTCAATCGGCCTCAGCATGGATATGATTCAGAGTGATCAGTTGTCCATCTACAAATGGGGCAGAGAGGATTTATTGGGGTATCCTGGGACTTTCCCCTTACCAGTTGCATGCCGTGTTTTGATATCCTTGCTTGATTATGTTTTGAGAAGGATGGAGATTCAAAAAGAAGAAAAGCTGGAAGGGTTTGCTTTGAATCTGATGTGGGACTTATCCAACCTGGCTGTTAGAACGTTGATGCAGTCTCCTGAAGTTCGAGCAATTAGTATTAGCTTGCTCTTTCCAACTATATTCAAATGCTTAAATACATTCTCTTCGATTAAAGTTGTGGTGCATGATGCACCATATACTCTTTCCAGGCATGATGTTGATATCCCGTTTTCTGACCACACAATACATTTGAGTTCGAAATCAACTTTAGCTTATAGAATTTGGTTTGTGCCACAGGTCATGTTTTGCAAAGAAAATTTGGAACGTGTGCATATCTATGTTCTCTCTTGGACATCTAGAGAGGCTTGATGCATACAATGTGCTTTCTTTGTATTTCTCTTCATTCTACATGATAAAACTAAAGGAAAATACAGAGGGAGGTAGTATTTGTAAAGAATTTGATTTAAGAGCTGAAAGAGAGTTTTGGAAGGAAATACAAAGGGGATTGGTAAACCTTCTGCTCTGACGTCTTCCATATTTCCTTTTCTTATTGAGGCATCTAAATGCTTTATTTATTGCTTCTCTTCTGTAATTCAAACCAGGTTGACAAGGACCCGTGCTTGAGGAAGCTGGCGTTACATATACTTAAAGTATCATTTAACAACTATTCTTTTTCCAGTCACAGCAACTGTCACTACCTGTCCAGTACTTCAAAATTTGTTGCTGCTGATTCGGTTGAGCATACTACTTCATGCAATGGGACCTCATTACTGGCTAACATCACAAAGAGAGGCAAGTGGGCTGAAGAAGAAGCAAAATCCTTGGGAGTTGGAGAGGTATTGCATCCAGATGATGGGTATTTGAGTAGTCAAGAAAGATGGAAGGTCTTTTTACTGTTGTATGAAATGCTTGAGGAGTATGGCACACATTTAGTTGAAGCTGCTTGGACCCATCAGGTTGATTTCCATGCTTTAAACTTCAGTTTCAAGCATTTCTTTATTAGATTGGCAGGAAAATACTGTATATATGAGTTCCGCCATCAGTTCAATTTCCAATTTTCCAGGCATCATGATATTCTGTTTCCTACAGTTCGGCGGGTAACAGTTATAGTTATATATGCTAAGACTTCCCTTGTATCTCTCCATTTTCTTTGAAGGAAAATATTATATCACTCTATATTCTGGCTAGTTAAATGCAACCCCCTTATCTAAGCTTATAACTTTGCCTTTTTTCTATTTATACGTCTTCTTTTTTGAAAGGAAAATGAACAGGAAATGTTTTCATAAAACATTATCAATTATCAACTGGTTAATCATCTCTTTTGTAGCGATAATAAATTTTACACTTATACGTCAAAAAAGTTTATACTTCTAAAATAAATTTTAAATAAATTAGAGTTGTTCTTTCAATTTATTTTTTAGATTCATTATATACTGGCCTTATTTTGTCACGTATGTAAGAATAACCTTTTGTGTAGCACACATTTGAATGTCCTAAAAAAATAATTCAGCATATATTTTGTGCAAGTGTTTGAATAAGCAAGAAGTTAATGAAATCTCCTTAACTAATGATATTGAAAATTCTATTTTGTGAAGTTACAAATTTTATGAGCACCTTTCTATGCACATGGATGTGTTTCCTATGTCAACCTTTTAGCTTCTCAAAGTAAACGGTAATTCTGAATTCAAATTCATTAAAATATATATATATTTCATGAGTCTTAGGGAAAAGATTAGATCCTATTGAATTTATATATTATTTGCCACTGATCCTATTAAAACCGTGAAATGCATTTTTATACAGCACTGTATGCGCTCTAGTAGTCTAGTGTTATCGAAGGCATGCACCTCCCTACGCCTCATGCGCCCTGCGATGTAGGCCGGTGGGGAAGCGCCCTACATCTAATGCGGTAGTGCCTCATAAGCGAGGGTGTGAAGCGCTTCATGCAGGGCACATGCAAGGCATTGCCTTGTATATTTTGTTCCTTGACATTTTAATCGGGTCTTTGTACTTGGTAACCTATATCCCAAAAAGGAAAATAAACCCATTAAGCCTAGTTGCATGATTGAGGACCCCAAATGCTCCTCATTTACTATTTGATTTTGCTTCCAATCTTGATTTGACTTTTAATTTGGAAAAATTATGAACCTTGCTATTGTGTTGGATGTGTTAACAGTATTTATCCTGACATTTTTTATGCGAAAATTCGTATACATATTTCGTGCTTGATTAGATATCTTGAAGAATTATGAGTGTGGTGTGCGCCTCGCATCACTCAGGCGTGTGCATCGCATTGCGCCTTGCAAATGTGCGTGTAAAAGGACTTTGTGGTCAGCATTGTGCCTCATGCGTTGATAACATTAATTGTGTTCCCCAGAAGTCAAAGATTAAATTTCTAGCTCATTTCCTCAATTAACCATTTAAACACCATCTTCTCATATATATTGTGGTTACTTGGAGGTATTTGGATCCTCTTTCTTATTTCAAGGACAGTGTTCTGACTATATTTCATGCTTTTTATGCTCAATTTGAGATATTTATGAATGAACATGTAGTTTTATTTTCAAAAAATTCTCTCCTTGTCTTCTTTCATGTTTTGTATCTGCATCACCATAGTTTCAGCTATTTTAGATCTTCACCACTGGTGTAGGCAATACTTTCAGGAGAGGAATTTTAGCATTTTTTTTCTTGTATATACTTGGGCAAGCACGATAAATTATATTCTGACCATTATCTCTGGTGGTCTAGTAACCAATTAATTTTTTCTTTCAGATATCTTTGCTGTATCAGTCTTGGTCCCTGAATAATTGTATCAATGAAGTATCCCATGAGGTTTATAAAGTTCAGATGGAAACTATAGAGGGAATTTTCAGTTGGCTTGCTGTACTGTGGGAGCGTGGATTTTTTCATGAGAACCCGCAAGGTCAACCATCACTTCACTTTTTTATCTTTACCAAAATTTAGTGGATCACCAGCTTTATAGTTCTGTAATTTGCTTAGAAAGCTATTTTTGATGTTAAATAACCTTTCCAACATGCTACTGTTTCAGTGCGATGCTTAGTTATGCAATCATTTTTGAACACTGATTGGAAGGAATACGGAACCTGTGCACTAAAAGTGCCTAGAAGCTTTATCCTGGGTCCCCTCATATTCGGTCTGAATGATGTCGTGCATCACAAGGATTTTGGTTAGTTTTCTTGCTTGATGCTTTTATTTGCTATCTTTAATTAGTTTTGCGTGCTTTTCTCTGACTGATATGTTCTGGATAGGAGAACAATTTTGCTGTTTGCTTCTCATTGAGTGTAATGTTTGAAGGATCTATTTTTTTGAAGGGGCAGATACCTAGCAGAGTGTTTATAGTATCAGTATCTTGAACCACGATGTTACCTTCTCAAGGGTGTTTTTTGAGGCCAATAAACTCTATAGATTTTATCATGTCACTAATGAACTTGCAGTCTCTAGACTCGAAAAATAAGAAAATAAATAAAAGATGAAGGCAGAAAAAAGCAGAAGGAAGGAAATGAAAGAAAGAGGAAGAAGATTTGTCGTTTGATTAATAAGTTATTTTTTTTTATCTTATGGGAACTGGCTGCACGATTGAGTGGAATACTCAGTGTTCTCTTCATGCTGTCGTCATGCATTTACCCTAGTTGTAATGTGTGACACTTGGTGCACCTAGACTATTTTCTTCTCAGTATATCCTCATATTTTGATGCTGCTGTCTTGCAGTAATTGATTTACAACTATAGAAGTGGAGACTTCTAACTTACTGTACATGAATAGTTCAGAAGCATTTTTTATTAGCTTTCTGGCTTATATTGTGGCTTGATACTGTAGTAAATGCATTACCTGTGGGCCTTATCAGTTTTCTTTGTTCTAGTCTTTCCAACATAGGGAACTTTGCCAAAAGTTGAGTTATACAAAACTTCGCCAAAAGTTTTGAGTGGGCAATAGATGCTGGAAATTTTCAGTTAGTACTGTCTTTTCCTTTGTCAGATCATCTCTATTTGACTCTTGCAATTGGAATTTAGTGTTATGGTGTATTGATTTTCATCTTGGTAGATTGTCGAAAAAGAATTAACAGGGTCTTCAAGTTTTGTTTACTTGATGATAGATTAATTGGCTGAACAAACTATATCACTTCGGATTTGCTTACCAAGATATCTAATTTACAGAAGATCACGTTCAGATACGCATACTGTATTTAGATTAACTTTGTAATAGGATGATGAAGTTTAAGCCTTCCTGTTAGCTCTAAACATGGCAATAACTTCCTATACATCTACTTTTTATGGGAGAGAAATTGATTCTGTTTCCTTGATGCAGGTGTGAAGGGTGTTTATACTTCCAAAGTAATAGAAGACGCGACACATTTTTTTTATGAATACTCTTGTCAATTTTCACAAAGGTCAATCCTGTTTAACTTTTGTGTTCATTTTATTGCATTGGAATCTTTATATGTTAAATATTGGTACTTTCATGCTTGCCTCTTGAATCTTCATGCTGTTCATATCCATTATTTAATTCATAGCTTGTCACAGTTCTTGTTCTTTTTTATCTTTCTTTGCCTCTTTAATCAGTTTTTAGTATGCCTTGTATCTAAATTCTGCCTTCTTGCGTGAGCATATATTTGGTGAATTTATGCAAATAGGCAACCAACACATTGATAGTGGCATATATTACTTTTGTCTTATTGATATCAGAAGTGGCACCTTTGTAAGAAGTCAAAGGTAGCTTCAGTTAATGGTAACATGAGATAGAATCCTTGGAGATTGTTTGTACATGTAATGTAGACCAGTAAGTGCCCTGGCGAGGAAGTGACAATAAGATGGTTGATGAATGTTTTTTTTTGTTTGTTTTGTTTGGGGGAATGGGGGTGGGAGGGTGGGGAGATCAAAATGAACATGGATTAGGAAAATAGAAAAGGCTATCCTATTTGCCAGTTCAACAAAAAAAATGTTATTGAAGCAACAAAAAAGGACATCTTACTTCTCAATTTAATGACAGAGATGGACCTTAATTGAACTGAATAGAGAAAACGATTTACCTAGATTATATATAAATTACAATATAGGTTCTGTTTACTTTCCGTTATAATGTAGATTTCTTTATCTAAATATTTTTCAAAAGGATTATTGGAATAATTTGTGTTAAAGATATTTGTCACGATACTTCAATCTCTAGTTGTGCAATACACAAGTCTCCTTATTCCCTTTTATTGATTCCTTCTTCTGGTGCTATGAAATCCCATTGCTTACTTCACTTATTTCCTTCTCTAGTCATAGAATATTCCATTCACGTAGAATAAACTAGTGGAACTTATTAGGTTTGTCCTTTCATGTTGTATTGTGCCTCATCTGTGTACAATTCCTTATAACATTGGGATCTTTCTTATTATACATCCTTCGTAATCTGCAACAATTGTGCACAGTTAACTTGTTAATTGAATGGCATTAGACTACATGACCACCAAGGTATATTTCTTTCTTACAAAGTGGACTTTTGAGGATGCAAAAAACTCTCATGTCCATGTTTTCAATTGTTAGATATTTAGCACCAACTTCAGAGATTGATGTCAGGTTGTCAGCTGGAGATAATTATGTTGGTTAATCATAAAATTTGTTGTAGAAAAGTCTTCCATGATGATTATCTGATACCTGCACAGTTAACTTGTTAATTGAATGACATTAGACTACATGACCAACAAGGTATATTTCTTTCTTACAAAGTGGACTTTTGAGGATGCAAAAACTCTCATGTCCATGTTTTCAATTGTTAGATATTTAGCACCAACTTCAGAGATTGATGTCAGGTTGTCAGCTGGAGATAATTATGTTGGTTAATCATAAAATTTGTTGTAGAAAAGTTTTCCATGATGATTATCTGATACCTGTTGAATCTTAATTAATTCCAATTCAATATTTCTTTTACCCTTTTATACTTATGCATGCCAGTATGATGTGAATTTGCTGATTTCTGCAAAGGTGTGGCTTATTGGGGCTAAATTTGGTCTGATAACTTCAGATTATGCTAATAACTTTTCAATATTATCTAAGTGCACTTTATTTCTTAAAAGACCCTAAAGGGATGCTACTTTCTTGAATCAACCTTGGGAGTTTGAGATTTCTAATCCAATGCAGCCCTCTGATAAATTATGAACGTAAATAGGAGTTCAGGCCAATTCTAATAGCTTAAGGTTTACAATTAAATTGGTTCCTAGCCTCTATTCAAGGCCCATTAACTCAGGATTGCGCTTGCTTTCTCCCCAACAAGCGGTGTTTGAGAATAATTCTGGATCCTATAGACCTTTTTCTTCCTTATCTTTTTTTTTGTGTGTGTGTGTGTGGGGGGGTTCCCATTTGCAGCTTCGACATCATGGACCTGCCATCTCATTAATTCTTCAGTGTTCAGTACTGGAGTGACCATGCAATTATCTCGTCGGGAGCTTCAGATCTTGTTGTTAGGATTGCATCAACCTCTTGATTATCTCGTCGGGAGCTTCAGTGTTCATCGCCATCTGTCTGGCACCCATACCTTTTCTTTGTTAACTTTGTGCGCCTAATTGGCCTCTTTGGATCTTGGTTTTGTCTGGGACTAATTCAACTTCTATATCATTATATATCACTGTCTTTTATATAACTTCCTAACCTCCCAAAAGGAACTGCATACTCTCTTAAGTAATTTTGCTTGTTTCTGATATGCATCCACTCAGATTAAGCTTAACCTAGACTTCACAGGTATTTTGTTACAATTACACATTGTGTCTGATACTAATTTTATCCCATTCAGTGAGCGTGCTGACTTTGTTTGGAGTTTAGCATCTGTTGCTAAGAAAGAGTCGTTTGGTCGAGCTGGATTAATGGCTCTTGCCTTTTGTATTGCTTCGGCTGCTTGTCAATGTGATACACAGAATGGAAGGGGAAAACATTACACCGCAAGCGAGTTCTCTGGAGAATCTAGTCAAGAAGTTACGCCAAGTAGAGCTTCAGATTTGTTGGATGCTCTAGGCTTTGTTATTGAAAGAAGTAAACAACACTTCAATCCTAATTACCGTCTTCAAGGTCTACACACCTTTATATGGATAGTTGTATCATACATTTCGAATTTATGATTTGTTGGCATACTGACTGCCTATTTTCATTTGTGATTGGGTTCAGTATCTGAGCAGGTAATAAAGGCTGCAGCTTCATTAATAAACATCAATTATGTATCACTTGAGCTGTTTCTGCATTTTCTATCTGCAGTTCCACGAGAATTTACTGATTGTGGAGGTAAGTAATACTGTAGGCCTCAGAAGCTATATTTCTTTACTCTTTGATTAGTATTCAAGACTATCTTTTAGATTTGTGCTAATATGCTGGCTGATTTATGGCCATCACTTCATTCTGTTCAGAAGAATATAGTACATGTATGGCTTTAATTAAGCATAATCTACTAGCTTTTTTCTTACCTGGTAAATACTGGTAGTTGTGTCACATGGTCACACCACTATCACATGATGATGGCTATACACAGATTAAGTGGGCAATGATGATTATGATAGCCATCCCACAGCCTGGTTACACGTGATTAGGAGACTGGAGAATAATGATCAATTTTGTGACTATTGAATTGTCGTGGTTGCCAAAATCAGCTATATGTTCTCATTTAGTAATTTGTTGAACTTGTCCTGTTTTATGTTACTATGATGTGTCGGTCTATCTGATTTCGCATCGTTAACGGTATAATAGAATTCACTGGGTAGAATATGATGTTTTTGAATAATTACAAAGATCAGCTTGATGTCAACTGCTTTGTTTTTTTCTCATTTTTTAAGTTATATGCTAATTTTTGTAAGGAAGGTTACAGATTTGACGCTGTATTTGTATCAGTAGCATTGTCTAGTATGGTTTATTGGCAGTTTTTCCTGAACATGTGGTTTCTTTTTCCATCCAAATCTTTATTTAAAAAATGTCATTAATAGTTTCTGAAAAATAAGGGTTTTTAAGATGCATAAAAAAAATATCTCACTTTTTTTTGCATATTTCCAAATTTGATCATGTATTGTTGATGTAGTTTGCAAGTATACGGTGTCATCACTTCACAGTTAATGAAAACTGAATTAATGATCACATTGATAAAATGAAACATTAGTTATAATGGGTTTTGTGGTTTATTAAAAGCGTACATACCCTAGCAAACATAACCCTTTAATTTTCACACTTCATTTTCAGATTTAATGAAAGCAATACAGTTTTACTGGTACTGCAATGGTGTTGAGATAGTTAGACTAATAATAGTTTTATCATCTACATTGCCAATGTTAAGGGAAGTGCTTTTATTTCATAAAAATCATTAGTTTAAAATTTATGGATCATTAGTGGATAACTAGGTAGCATGGGTATGGGTGCGGACACGAACACGGACACGGAGATGGACACGGGACATGGCAAATTTATAAAATGTAGAATACAGGGACACAACTATATATGTGTGTGTGCGTGTGTGTATAGATCTAATATTGAATTAAAATACCTATAACATTTGTATGTTTCTTCTATTATCTCTGCCAATTAAGAATCAAGTTAAATCAAACTAAGAGTGAAGTTTTAACAACAAAAGTCGCATGAGATAATGCGGTATGTATTTTTCAAATATTTAAGCAATGGCTTTTAGTTTTCGGGTTAAAAAGCCAATTGGTTTTGAACCATGTATTACCATTGAAACTAGTTTAGGGTATAATTAATGAGAAAATCGGGTTTTGCTTTGAACAACATGTGTCTGTGGCGTGTCACGGGCATGACACTCAAAACGCCGTATCCGAGTAACCTAGGTGGATAAAGAGACATTTCAAAATAAAATACTTCAAACACAATAGATGGTAGCATAAGGTACACAAAGAAGCTTGAAATATTATTTCTGAAAACATGGCTATATTTTCTAAATCCCAAAAAATAAAAAAATAAACAATTATTTTTTTCATGCATTTATCCCTTTTTTTGTTCTTTTTAGGCTTTTGTTTCTATGGTTATTTTACTATGATTTTAATTTTGTTCATAAAGAACTATCAAACTTTATTTCAAGAAATAAATTTGAGTAGGGTCTTGAGGAAATTGAATAAGTTGCTTTGAAACAACAAATCATGAAGTCTATTCTACATACCTCCTGGAACCAATAATTAGAGAAGGTTACACATCACAAAATTCAAAATCCTACCAGAAAATCATGGTATGTATCAATTTCAACTGAGTTTTAAATCCTTGAAATAGAGTGCCCAATTATGTAGAAAATGGAAAATTTCTTTTAATTGTGTTGACCATCTTTGCTAACTTGTAGCACTTTGTTGGTCAGCTTAGAACTGTAGAATAGGAGTATGCCAATGATGCACTCCTTTACATTACAAATTACTCGGAAAATGTTTTTTCCTGGGCGTTTGTATATTTTTTGGCTGGTTCTTCAGTTGTTATTGATTATACTTTTTACTAGGTCAATTGCGAGAATTGGTGCTATGTTGGCTTACTCAGAGGAATGAAGGGTCCATCCTTGGTTCCTTCAATGTTGAAGATCTTACTGTGAAGAATCTTGTTAGTTTTCCTATGAGCTTCCTAAAGCAGAAATATTCTCCCAAGGAACCATTATCTTTTGACGATGAGGATTTGGACGCATGGAAAATTGAAGCTCAAAGGTGGGCGAGGGTGCTTTTCCTCATACTTGAAGAGGCCCAAGCTTTTGAACCTATATTAATGGTATGAGTTCATTCCATTTATTATTACTGCAAAAAATCAGTTTTTACCTTTTCCATGACAATTGTGATTTCTTCTATTTTATATTTATTATCGTTCGAGTCTTTTGTATATGTGAGAGAATGTTTCCATGATCATGCTCTGATTCCTGTTATTATGTTCTCTAGTAAGATTCCTTGCGCTAGTCTACATAAGCTTCTCTGATATATTTCATTTACTGCATGAAGAAGTGTTGAATTCTAAAGATTATACCTAGTCCTTTTTGGGATCTTTTTTTTTATTTATATAGCTGACTTGTTGGTAACTTTAGCATGTATTATTTCTAAGCGTGGCACAGTTTAACCATTGTCATGAAGAAATGGAGTGATTGTTGATGATCATGTGAGAGAATGTTTCCATGATCATGCTCTGATTCCTGTTATTATGTTCTCTAGTAAGATTTCTTGCGCTGGTCTACATAAGCTTTTCTGATATATCTCATTTACTGCGTGAAAAAGTGTTGAATTCTAAAGATTATACCCGGTCCTTTTTGGGATATTTTTTTATTTATATACCTGACTTGTTGGTAACTTTGGCCTGTATTATTTCTAAGCGTGGCACAGTTTAACCATTGTCATGAAGATATGGAGTGATTGTTGATGATAGAAGCGAGAAAACTTGGATGAAGTCATGTTGGACAATGTTTTAAATGTCGGCCGCCGTGTCGGACATGTCGAAGTTGACATGTTGGATTTAGGGGTCAACTGACACGATATGAAACTTTTTAATGCATATTGCGTTTTTGAGGATTCATGTTGGATATATCGGGGGACAATATTAGATATGTCGGCGGATATATTTGGGGACATGTCAACTATGTCGGCCGATTTTTTAATTAAATAAATTAGCTGTTTTTTGTTATGTTTATCTAATCAGGTTTGAGTTTAAATTTCTGATTATCTTAATATTGCTTCCAAAGACAAAATGCCATCAGTTAGGGGAAATGGAAAAAAAGACCGAAGTTATTTCCGCGCTCCTCTCTTTCCTTCGACACCTCATCGATCTCTTCTCCAAATTGTTCATTCCATATCAATATTGAGTGATCTTTTCTCTCCTTAGCTACCAACATCGGACTTCTCGTTTCTCATCTCTTTTCTTCAACATCAATCCTAAGCATCATAAGTTATTTATTTTTTATATATTTAGACTATAAATTTTATTAAGTATGTTTAGATTTCATTTATGATATTTATATTACACATGCACACCATCAGATATGACAATCTGATATTTTTTTCATATCCCTCGACATATCCGCGATTTTCGCTATCCAACAATGAATTTTAGCTGTTCGACATGAACCCAACATTCGACACTTAAAACCTTGTGTTGGAGAGCAGAGAATCTCAATGTACTTACCCATGCAACATGCACGCATGCACGCACAACACAAAAACAAACACTAACAAAGAAAAAGAGTATATATATGATTGGTCTAAGCATATGAATCTTGATTCCCTGAAAGATTGAGATACTTTTAAACCATACAAAACATACACACACACGTACATGTATGTACACATATATGTATCTATATGTATATGTACATACATGTACATGTACATATATATCTTATGTTATATATAATACATATATGTACACATACATATATGTATGTATGTACATGTACACATATGTACATACGTATATGTATGTATATGTACATATATATCCTATGTTATATATACATATATGTACATATACATACATATATGTATATATATATACATACATATATATCCTATGTTTTTTTTTTTTTTTTTGAGAATAAGGATGGAATACCCCAAAGGGATTCCAGCCAGCTAAATTAAAAGATAAAGTGGTTGTTACAAAAAGCCCATACTCCCAACCAAGAGTATGCGCTAGAGTTCAAAAGAGGGTACTACAAATAGTATACCCCTACCCCCCGTAAACAACTGAAAAACGGACATAACCTCCCCCAAAAAACTGATATAACAAGTTTGTCAGAAGAACCAAAAAAACAAAACAGAAGAACAGAGCTTCTATCCAACAAAACCAAGAGCAACTCCAGTGAATATGAACAGATCATTCCAATTGAATCACTGTAGCCGTGTCCTTGCTCCCAAAATCAACACCTTTAGTAGCAGCAGCTCTTTTTCTTCTTCTTGCTTGTAATCTGGCGGCACGAGCAGAGATCCCCTCAGATCCTAGCCAAAATGTTGAGAAAGTTACAATTTTGTTCAAGAGGGTAAGAGAGCTCTTCTTCTTATCAGAAAATATTCTGTCATTACGCTCCTGCCAAAGACACCATATAAGAGAGCAAATGAAAACTCTTCTCTTCAAATTAGAGTCTCCCTTGTATCCACTAGTCCACTGTATCCAAACTTCTTTCACAGAAGACAAACTAAAATCTTTGTCAGTATTCAACTTGAATTGAAGTGATCTCCAAATAGAGTACACAAACTCACATTTCAGGAACAAATGAGAATGATCTTCATCTGATTTAGTACACAAACAACATGTTCTCTGCAAGATAATTCCCTTTTTAGCTAAAATATCTGTAGTATTCAAACCATTTCTTAGAGCCAGCCAAACAACAAATTTGACCTTTAAAGGAATAGTAAGCTCCCATAAGTTTGAACAATCAAATCTTAGACCCCCATCAATAAGGAAGTGATAAAAAGACTTCACTGAAAAAAATTTATTAGCTTCCCATAACCATTCTCTTTTGTCTTCATAATCATTAAAAGAAACAGAATTAATGATGTTCAACATATTGAAATACTGAAACACCAAGTCTCCAGTTAACTGGATTCTAAAATGTATCTCCCATCTCCAAATACTATTCTCCTTAAATCTCAAACTACTAATGAAAGCAGAAGGTGATGAAGAGAGGGAAAATAAGGATGGAAACATAGAAGCAAGGGTAGAAGATCCTACCCATTTATCTAACCAAAATAAAGTTTGGTCCCCATTCCCTACCACAACCTGTGAACTGCACAAAAAACAGTCAGTAACATTAAAAAGATTTTTCCAGAAATGAGATAAATTCGATCTATCAGCTTTTAAAAACCAAGCCCAAGGTCTTTTTTCAAAATGACAATGACCACTAACTTGCTTCCACAGACTATCTTTCCCATCCAACCATTTCCAGAGCCATTTACCCAAAAGGGCTTTATTCATAATTTTTAAATTCTTAATACCCAGACCTCCACAGAATTTTGGTTTACAAATTTCTTCCCATTTAACCAAATTTGAGCAACTCTTAAAATCAGAAGATCCAGTCCATAAAAATCTCCTTCTCATTTTATCAATTTTATCAATCACCCAAGATGGAAATAAAAAGAAAGATAGCCAAAAAATTGGCATAGATGAAAGGACAGAATTAACCAGCACCAATCTGCCTCCTCTTGATAAGGATTTTCCTTTCCATAAAGATAATCTTTTCTCTATTTTATTGGTTAAAGGAAACCAATCTTCTTTTTTTAGCCTTCCAGGTCTTAAAGGGATCCCTAGGTAAGTAATAGGAAACTTACCACTTTTGCAATTCATCATAGTAGCTAACTCATGTTGTAAAGATTCATTATTTTCCAGAGCAATTAAAGTACTCTTACTAAAACTGATTTGTAAACCAGAAGCAAGCTCAAAACAATAAAGGATCAATTTCAAAACTGTCAGGTGCATTCTATCATTTTTACAAAAAATCAACGTATCATCTGCATATTGTAAACAATGAACCTTATGAACCAAATTAGGAGGACCTAATCCCTCTATAAGGTGTGCATCTACAGCAAGATTTAACATTTTTGTAAAGGAATCTGCTGCTAAAACAAAGAGAAGGGGTGATAAAGGATCTCCTTGACGGACTCCTCTTTTAGACATAATCCAACTCCCTGTCTTACCATTTATGTTTAAAGCAGACATACCATTATTCAAACATAACTTTATCCAATTGATCCATCTAATACCAAAACCTTTGGCTTTCAAGACTTCCAGAATAAAATTCCAATCAAGCATGTCATAAGCTTTCACAAAATCTAGCTTTAACAGAATCCCTCCTTTTTTTTTATTATAAAAACAGTCATTAATGATTTCCTGGGCTACAGCCACTCCATCTAGGAGAAATCTGTTTTTAATAAAGCCAGATTGCACAGAATCAATAAGCATCTCAAGCTTTGAATTCAGTCTGTTAGTAAGAACTTTGGTGATTACTTTATAAATCACATTAAGAAGACTAATAGGTCTGAAATCATTGACAGTATAAGACTCACTTTTTTTAGGAATAAGAACAATATGAGCATAGTTAATTCTGTTAATTTCAAGTCTACCTTCATAAAATTCCTCAAACAACAACATAATATCATCTTTCACAGTGTCCCAAAACACTTGATAAAATAATGCAGTAAAACCATCAGGACCAGGGGATTTATCCCCATTCATGTCAAAAATAGCTTTATGAACTTCTTCCACTGTAAAAGGATGTTCAATATCATTAGAACCCCAGTCAGAAAAAGGGAAGAGTTTATGCCAATCAAGTTGACATCTATTAGAAACATTTTGACCATAAATCTGACTATAATGGTTAAAGAAAACCTGAGCAATACCTTCCTCAGAACTAATTTCCACATCGTTAAAAGTAATAGCTGGGATCAAATTACTTCTTTTTCTCCCATTGGCAATTTTATGAAAATATGCAGTGTTCTGATCCCCCTCCTTAAGCCAGTGAGCTTTAGCCCTTTGTTTCCACATTTGTTCTTCTTGAAATAAAATTTCATTCAATTGAGTAGAGATATCATCTTTTTTTAATAATTCATCATCTGTTAAATCTCTGTCTTCCTCTAACACCTCCCATTTCATGAGCTCTTCTAACAAATCTTTTTTCTTCTGCCTAACACTATAGAAATTTAAATGAACCCACTGTTTAATGCACTTTCTCAAAAATCTCAATTTGCCAACTAAATTTTTGGCAGCAGATGTGGATGAAGGAGCACAACTCCACCATA